TGACCTGTAGTTTGCATCCTTTTGCCTCCACTTTGGACACCAAAGGCTTCAGTAATGGAAGTTACTGTATTGGTCCAGTTTTTAGTGACTCATCAGAAGTTTTCAAACTACTCTTTAATCCCTCCCAGTGGGGGATTTGTCTCACCTGTTCTTGAGGTGGTGATCTGAACTCTTTGGTCTTCTTCGCCGTCACAGCGGCAGACATATTCAGCGCCAGCATCAGCTCGTTGTAGCGAAACTTCTGGTTGTACTGCAGCTTAGAGACGAAGTTGTCAGAAAAGGACACGATGGCCTCGATACGGTGCTTCAGCTCGCAGTCGCAGAAATAGTGAAGCAGCTCGCACATCTGTAGAGCAGACAGGGGGAGGAGACAAGCGTTTGTACGAGCACAGACGCTGTTGCATCACCGTTGCACGCCCCAGACGCAGCTGCTACGAGCAAGAGAAACATGCAAAACACCTTATGGCTTCACATTATCCCACTTATTAAAGAGACGTTTTTACTCAAGAGATCATTTGTTGGGTACAAGACAGAACCATTTCATGTTTGACTGACTTCTGAATGGGCCTATTAGATTGGAGCAGTTATGGAGCATGTGATTGAGAGCACAGCTGTGTTAGTCTTTAGCGGTGAATTGGCACTTGTAGATGAAGATGTTCATTGATTTTACAGATTTTGAAGATTTGCCGTCAGTGTTGTGCAGTTATGTGAAGTCTGCTGTGTATGAGTTTTTGCTGTTACCTGTCGTTTGACGGGCTCCGGCAGCCTCTTCTCCAGCAATCCCTTCATCGGCTGCTTGGCCTCCTTGGCTGCCTCTTCTTCACCAGCTTCCACTGCCTTCTCCTCCGTCCCCGTCAGTCCCTCTTTGTCGGTGGCCCCCGTGGCCCCCTCCTCACGCGTCTCTCTGAACACGTTCGGATCAATGAGCAGTAAAATCTTATGAACGTCCTCACTACCTAGAACTCCCATAGTCAGCAAGGTGCTGATGAGCTTCAAGATTGGTACAAACTGGTACTCCACACCGCCTCCTACAGGGTCTCGTATGTGGTGGCCGCCCCCTTGAACAGCCTCTGTCAACATTGATATTGCTTTCTCCTTCAGTGCATCCAGCGGGATTTGGGGACTGTACAGATGCTCCCGTTTGGTGTTGATAAAACAGGGCGGTACGAAGTTGAGGCGGGGTTTCAGGGAGGTGCTGAGCCCCACGCCTGGTGGGAGGTGCTTTTTGGAAGCGTCTGAAAAGAGACGTATGGAGCGCGTCTCCGCTGTGACCGGAATGATGAACTCGTCCTTCATCATGAGCCGTGCCTCTTTGGCGGTCTCCAGGTGGATGCTGATCAGAACATTGTAAAAGCCCTCACGCAACATGCCAGACAGGTACTGATTGTCGATGGTGTACAGGAGCTGCGACTGGTCCAGGTGGCTGCACAGAGCGTGAGCCACGCGGGTGTTTCCCAGAGCGCAGAGGGCACAGTAGAGCTTCAAGGTGTGGTAGTGGAACATCCTCATGTCCTCCTGCTCTGACAGCTCCATGATGTCGACACACCTTCGAAAACAAAGGAGGAGATATTTGTAAAAAAAAAATAATGTTCAGATTTAGTCTATTTGGAGGCCAGACGGTTCTTTTGTGGTTACAGGTTAACCCTTTGAACTCCAACATCTACTAGTAGGTTTGAGGTGCTAATTATTATTTTAAATGCCAAACTATTTAAGTAAAGTTAATGAAAAATGAGATTAAAGTTGTGATATTCCATCAGAATGACTTTATTCTGCATGATTACATTTAAAAATTACCCCAAAATAGATCATTTTCAGTAACCAGATTCTATAAAACACTAATAAGTCTGCACTCCTTGATGCAAATGTGAAGCTATTTGTCATTCAGCTGCAAACAAAAGTCAAAAGAAAAAGAAATGGGGATTTTCAGCTGAACTGCAGGTTGTGCTCAAACAGAGCAGATAGAAGACAAGCACTAGTAAATAAAAAAAACTGAGAAAAAAAATTAAAAAGTAAGATGTAAAGCAGGGGTGTCAAACTCTGGCCCGCGGGCCAAATTCGTAATTATATTTGGCCCGCGAGACAATACCAAATGACTACGAGAGTTGCCCCCGGTATTATACTGGACAGCGCATTCACCGCTAATACTACAAATCCCATAATGCCCTGTTGTTGTTTTGGCACGTCAGTCAGGACAGGACCCAGAAACTCCCTCTCCTCTGTGACAGTAGGCATAGCGACTTCACGCTACAACTGTCACGGTGCCATTGATGTGTTTTTTTATTTATAATTTGATTTTGCATGTCTCCACTATTAAGCTATATATAATGTATGGTAATAAGCGTTGCTTGTTCCATATTCAATGTTAAAGCAAGATTTGTTTCGGTCCATATTAAAAGGTTCATTTGTTCAATGTTGGCCCGCGACTTTGTTCAGGTTTTAAATTTTGGCCCACTGTGTTTTTGAGTTTGACACCCCTGATGTAAAGTATCAATACTATGTAGAGTCGCCTCCAGTGCAGTCCTACCACCTTCCTCCAGTATTGGTAACACCTGTTGTACTGGTTGATTTCAGGTTGTTACATTTTCTGTAAATGATGTTAATTATTTTTTCTGTTATTACAATTAATGGGTTGGCTTATTACTTTGTTATAACAAGAAAAGACATTTTTTTAATTCTCTTGCTACTTCTGAGCATTGTTACCCTGATTCCACAGAGGAATCATGAATGTTGAATCCACAACAAGAAAAAAAATGCCTAGAAACTGCTCAGGGTTCAGAGGTTTAACATAATAAGCACTTGTAAATTTTTTAACAAAAGGAAGTTTTTTAATCCTCTTGTGGGTTTTTCAAGCCAGTAAGCCAGGTCTGTGCATTACAATGCATTCCACAGCATGTACTCTGGTATCGTGTTTGTGTTTAGGGCTGCAATGGACGATAAAATGAAAACAGGAGGACTGTTGAGCAAAACAAGCAGACTGAAGTGCCTGATCACAGCTCCTGCAGAACCAGTAATAATTTGACACTGCAACGGAATTTTCAGTCCAAAATCCGCCTACGACTTACTACGCTTGTCAGTAAAATGTCACAACACAGTGGAAAATGTCCATGAAAATGTCCCACACCCCACGGTGACGACTTCAGACTCGTTTTGTCTGTCCAGCAAATTCAAATCCTAGATTTCTTTTTCAGTTTACAATGATGATGTATCCACAAATCTTCATTTAGAGAAGCGTTAACCAATGATGGATCTATAGATCAGCCAATAAACAAATCATTTTAATGTGTACTGATGTTTGAAGGAAGCACATCGTTACAGAGTTGTAAATGCACACTGTACGCTAAATGTTAAGGTAGAGCAAGCAGGAAATTAAGTTAGCTTAGCATAACTGTTGACAGTAAGCATTGGTTGGATCCCAGTTTTAAAAAATCCCCTCACTAATTAACACATAGTCACGTGCTGCCACTTTGTGTAGCCACTGGTCAACGATAAAAAGTCCCTGGACAGATTACACATTCAGTGTGCCTTAAATACCTTTAAAATCAGATCCCACACTCTTAATAAATGTAGCCTTTAACAAACCAAGCCGTGTATCGTACCTGTTCTCCTCCGGTATGTGCACCGCCAACATCTGCAGAGGCTCCACACACTGAACCACCCAGCCGTGCCTCTCGTTCACCCTGGCTGTCTCCACTTTGAGAAAGGTGTTGGGCATCCGGCTCCACAGCACCGCGTTAATGGTCTGGATGTCCAGCCGAGGTGGACACTGGGGCACCGGGTTCTTATGTTCGCTCTTGAAGATGGCTGATGACAGCGGCATAGCATTCTGGAGAGGATTGAAGGAATATTACTATTTCTCAATGCCAAACAAGCTCTTAAAAGGCTTCGTGAGCGCTTCTGCCAGTCTGACCTCTTTGACCACATTCTCTCTTTTTTTGCTGTTGTCTAAAAAAGACGCCTCTCTGAGCACAAAGCCAGGAAAAAGAATGATGCTGTCATTTTCCCGCAGTAGACAGTCACAATCTGTCTGTGAATTATTTGTCATGTTTTTTGTCTCGGTGTCACCTTTCCTGCTCAGTCACACTTTTTTTTTCTTTCTTTTTTCTCCTTCAAACAAATGACACAAGTACCCATCTTTTCAGTTAAGCCCTCGGTATCTTTGGTGCAGACGTAGCCATGATAAAATATTATCCCGGTAGACCCAGCTGGAGGGTGTATAGCAGCGCATCCTCCTGTGTCTCTGAACACATCGTAAGGGAGAATAAATGTACTGCAGGAGCGGTTGCGATGTCAAGGAGAACGCTGTGTTCTGACTTTCTGGCTTCTTTCTTGCACAGTTCTATGGTTTTGCAGGAGTCACACTGTGAAATAATGAGGTTGTTGTGGCGGGAAAATGAGGGAACTGTACCTTTATTTTAGCGAGTTCAAACTGGAAGAGGTTAGGGCTGGTGGGACGCACAAACACAGCAGGGAAGAGCTTGGTGTTTGGCTCCACCTGAAGCAGAGAACGGAGCGGAAAGTTATTAAAAGGTCCAATCAGGAAGTACACATCAAAAAACTTGAGGAGAAGCAGGAGAGCATGACTTGAGGAAAGCGGCTTAATGATGCATCATGAAAACTCCACTACTTAGTGTGTGTGTGTGTGAGTGTTTGTCGGTGTGTGTGTGTGTGTGTGAGCGAGTACGTATGATCATTGGAGAGTGTCGGCTGGCAGGATGAGTCAGTGCCGGGTGAAGCTTCACAGAATTTCAGTGAGGGAGAACATAAGAAGATTATACCCTTCGAAAGGTTCTTTAAGATTTAGTTCTCAAAGTACATCTGAACAAGCAAATTCTAAGTCCAAAATGCCACAATGCAGACGTCACCGGTTTGTTAGGAAAATATGCAAAGGCATGAAGTGTGCAACCGTCAAGGTCAACACACAATAAACTGCAGATGGATTGAGCAGAGTGGATGGACAGTTTAGACAGGTAGTGACTGTGAAATGACAGACGTGGATAAATAAAAGAGTGGATGGTGAGTTAGCAGAATTTCTGCATGTCCTGACGCACCCTGAAACAAATTCAAGACGTTAAAAAGCATCTGTATGAGCCTGTCCAACATCACACTAATGAAGAACAAAGATTTTCACAACACTGCACATTGCATCTGCTTTTCTAAACACAATTAGACGTGACATCTCTTACAGATCACTGTGATTTTCTCTGCTCTTCCTATAATTGAGAACTTCCACTTACTAGTATATTTAATGATTGAGAAAAACTGTATGAATTCTGCCCAGTTTATTCCCGTTTGAACAGAGTGTTTATTCAGTACCTGGTAGGACGTGGATATATCCTTGCCGTTGACAGTGAATGTCACCAGGCCGGTGGCCAGGTCTATCAGACAGCCGATCTCCAGGTCCACGTTGCTGCGACTGGAGGTGTGAGCGGCACTGGTCACATCACCACCCCACACCATGTAGCAGTTGCTCCTCTTCACACTGTCAGTTAGAAGCAGATGTAAACATTTTTTAAGAGACTGGAAATGCTGAGTATTTGTCAACACATGTAACCGTTATGATGCATTCAACTGTTAGCCACAACATTAAAACCACCTCATACTGTGTAGGTCCCCTTCCTGTCCCTCTGACTCATTGATGAATGGACTACGTAAGACTTCTAAAGATGTCCTGTGGTATCAGGCACCCAGATGTAAGCAGCAGAACCTTTAAGTCCTGTAAGTTGCAAGGTGGGGCTGCCGGCCCATCCTTCTTTGTTGTTTCTTCATTATGCAAATTTCAATGTGCCGTTGCTGGTTGCCGATTGGGCCAGGGCAGATGGGCGGAGCCAGGCCGATCACGCAGGACCCAATGAAGACCCTCCAACTGATGACAGCGGCCTATTTAAGTCCAATTGAGGGGGTGGCTGTATGCAGCACCAGTGCCTGACTCTCAGAGGAGGATTTTTGTTTGATGTAAAAGCACTTCTCCTAGAACTGTTATGGGATAGAGCTCAGTAAGGATTGTTTATATTTCCAGTAAAGAAGGTGCTATTTGGTATGTGTTTGATTTTCAACCCCATTTTGTTATTCGGTTGAACTTGGTTTTTACTTTTTTGTTACTGCTTTAATGCATTGTACTTGCTTTTCCAGCCCACAGATGCTCTATCGGATGGAGAACTGGGGAATTTGGAGGTCACACTAATGCCTTGAACTCTTAGTTAAGTTCTTCAAAACATTCCTGAACAATTTTTCTAGTGTGGCAGGGAGCGTTATCCTGATGAGAGAAGTCACTTCCATCGCTGACATCTGGTGGTGTGAAAGTAGCACCCACATTACTACTAAGACCGGAAGTTTCCCAGCAGATCATGACCAAGAGCATCACACTGCCTCTGACGGCTTGCCTGCTTCACATAGTTCCTACTGCTGCCATCTCTTCCTCAGAAAAACAACACACACACTGGGCCATCCACATGATGTAAAAGAAAACATGAGTTATTATTGCTTCCTGGTGTAGTTCTGGTACCCACATGTCCATTGTATCTGCTGTTGGCAGTGGGCACTGTGTGTTCTGACACCTTCACATAGCCAGCATTAAGGTTTCCAACAATGTGCGCTACACAAACTCTTCTGTGGGATGGGACCACATGCGCCAGCCTTCTCCCAACACACATCCATGAGTCTGGAGGACCCGTGACTTTGTGGCCTTACCTCCTTCCTTGGACCACTTTTAGTTGGTACCAACCACTGCAAGTCAGACCCTTGTCAAACCCATCTATCCATCCACCCAGTTTTTGTTTTTCTAGATGTCCCCTCTCCCCAGCAAAGTTTTCCAGTTCCTCCTGGGAGACCCCAAGGCATTCCCAGCAGACTAGAGAAGACGTGTAATCCCTCCACCAAGTTCTGGGTCTACCTTAGGGTCTGCTCCCAGTTGGGGAGAACCACTAAAGAAAGGCTCCCATGAGGTATTCCTTCCCTTGTCAAAGCTGTCTAAAGTAGAAGTCTTATGCTTGATGCTTTTTGTGCTTCTACCACATCTAGTACAAGAACTGACTGTCAACTTACTGTCCTAATATAACCCATCCAGTGAGGTACCATGAGGTAATTGGTGCTAGACGCGTACCTGTCACTGGTTTTAATGTTGTGGCTGCTCAGTGTAAACGCTAAACGGGGAACCTCACCTCTCATGAACTCGTCCACGTTCATCACCCAGGGTTACAGTCACCGTCCGGTTCTTGCTGAGGTTGAAGTTGTTGCTATAGTAATGGTAGTCGGGGGTAACCCATCCGACCCACACACAGGCGGGGTCCTGGCCCGCGAACACCCTGACTGTGTGGTAGTACTGCAACAAAATATTACAGATGTAGCCAACGCTGTGGGTGATTTGCGAGCAAAATGTGCCATCAAACGGAAGGTTTTTCGATACCATGGTAATGCTGCTGTAGTCCACTCGTCTACTTTCATCACTGTGCCTCACAGATCTCAATGGATATCTATGAGAAATCACATTTAACAGGTGATTATGAAGTGCAAACCAGCTGAAGGACACTAGTAGAGTTAAGCTCTCAGTTTTATTTGGCTTTGTAATGGCCAAGGTTATTATAATATGTCAGATAAAAACTCACATCTTTAACTGTCACCATTTAAACAGTCATATACTAACTGAAACGGACCCAATTTAAACAGCCAACTGATCTCATGACAATCAAATTACAGTATCATGACTCACCTGTGTTTAACTTTAAGGATATCTTCCTCGTGCACTCCGTTCATGTCCACCACAGGACTGGACTTGAAGAAGGAGTGGAACTCTACAGGCATGCTGAGACGACAAAACACCATGTCAGCATTACTGTTCTGGGTGCCAAACGTCTTGTGGGTGACTTTAAGACACGGAGGACTGTCGATGGTGCCGTCAATCCTGGTCACCTGCAAATGGGAGCAAAATCTTGGCATCCATCACCTGTCCAATTTTGCCAGTTTTTTTTTTTTTTCCCCCCAGCAGTTGCGTCACTGTTTGTTTTCTCACCGCGATGTGGTTGTGGTCCTTCGGCACGTTTACAAAAGTAGGCAGACGCTTGCTGAACCACATCGTGACCTCTCGGTTCATGTTGACAGCGTAGGGTTCAAATCCTTCCTGCAGGCCACACATGGTGTAGTACTTGAAGGTGCTAGCATCCTTCCCCAAATTCATTCGACCCACCTGAGCCAGACCGAGACTACACACGGGAATAAACCCTGAAGGACAGCCGCAGGAAGAGGGAAGAAAAAGCAGAGGGAGGAAAGAATAAAGGCTGTTAGAACACACACACACAGCAGGAGGGGATGGAAAATCTATCCAGCTTCTGCAAAAAGGCAATTTACAAGTGTCACATTAAATAAGGGAGCTTTCATTACAGGGAGCCACTTATTTCTTACTTATATACCCCAGCATGGTCATTCTAGGGTAAAGCTCCCTGCTTAGCATGTGAGAGATTTATTAAAAGACGACTGGAGGATCGCAAGGACATATGTGTGGAAACTCTTCCTACAATCACCTTATCATCCTGACAGGTTCTGACCTTAAGCCCGTACAAATCGCTCGCGTCACATTCACAGCCACACATGTTCTTTCTCACCGTCTTCGGTTTCAAAGTCGGTGAAGCAGAGTTCCGAGCCCTTGGTGGTGATCAGGATCTCGCCGTTAAGCGTGAAGATCATGGACTTGTCCTCCATGTTGATCATGCAGCCCACCACGTCCCCAGCATGCCAGCAGCGCCCGAACAACCGGCTGCCCATGTTCAGACAGTGGCCCTGCGCACAATGCAGGCGTAAAGAACTGAAGAAGACTGCAATGACTGAGTATGATTTATGTCTGGTGTACAGCTTACCCTGTATCCATCAAAGACGAAAGCGAGCTCGTCTGTGCCAAGCTCCACATCTGGCTTACATCCAGGTCTGGCCCAGCCCACCCTCATGTCTCCTCCTGTAACCGCTTCAAACTCAAAGTACCACTTCCCCGTCTTCACCGCGTACGTCCTCTCCACTCTGAAGAAGCGGATCTTATCAATGCTGAGCCGCTCGACCACTTGTCCTGCCGGGCGGACGGGAGAGTCACAGTACAGATTGCTGCTTCAAAACCATCAGAATCCCATCCAGCAAATAAAGAAACCAATCATTGAGATTTCAGATGTTAAAGAACCATTTCACAACCCTGAAGTGGGAGGCAGAATCCCATATCTGGACTGGAAAATTAAGCCAGAAAATAATGTTTTATCTTTGTGAAGAGCCTAATTCATGTGTAGAGCTCACCGCCTTCCTGGTCTGACGGCTCGATGTTGTATCCGTAGCCGATCAGAGTGCGGATCGCTTCCCGCAAGCTGTCCCTGTTCGACTTCTTGGTTCGCTCATCCAGCAGAGCATAAGGAACCAGGCGAGGGTTACGCTTGCTCTTCAGATCCTGCATGGAGAGGAGGCAGTCATGAAAACTCATTCCCGACGATCCCTGTTTATGCAATCAGCTGTAGGCTCACGACTCATGGGAGCAGTCGTACAGCTGTGGTGTTTGTTACGACTTTGCTGTCAATCCAAGTAATTGAGGAGTTAATTGACCATTTATTGCCATTGGGCTACTGTTGCTCATCGCTTCCTCTTTTTTTTTTTATGCCATTTCCCTGAGCATTACTCCCACTGGAGGCCGATGCCCAGTCATGGAAGTGTTATATTAGTACTACTTAAGCACATTTATGGAGCATAATTTGAAATCATGTGAAGGTTGTTTGTTTAGTCTGGCCTGACTTCTCCCATGTTACCACTAAAGGGAATAACTGAAAGTTCTGCAGCATTTTTCCAGAGTGTTGGTCGATTATCTGGTCTCTTGTCATCTACACCTCTGCAAACAGCAGAGCAGGAAGAGACGCATCCATTTTAAATTAGTTGTACTGATAAATTTGAATTTCACAGCTTCGTCTGTTAATTACCACGATCCAATGTCTGGCTCGAGGTCAGGAAACAGCACTTTTTCAGCATAATTTATAAAGCAAGGCTAAATAAATTGGCCTTTACTCACCTAATGTTAATAGAATGAGTACGCTTAGTAATATGTTTTTAAAAGCATGCAATCATTGCTTAATATATGATGTAGGTAAAAAGGAAACTGGCTAAATAAATAGTTAGTTTATCTTGCAATAAACACACATCTTTTACAGGAAAATCAATGCACTGGGTTAAAGAAGAAGTTATAGAAGAAATTCATGGAACAAAATGCAAAATCCTGATTGTTTTTTAGATGTTTTTGTTGCTGTTGTTTAGTATTTTGCCTTTAATATAAAGTAGCAGTAAAGACAGGCAGAAAATCAGGGAAGAGGAGCAGGGAAATATAATCAAGGGAAAGTCCAGACGGCCGGGAACTGAACCGAGGACACACACTTTGAGTTAGCGCTGCAACTGTCTGTGTGTGCAGTTTTAGTCCTTTTTCATACTGCAGATGATCAGGGACATGCTACATGCACTGTCTGCACAATGTGTTATGTGGTTTGTTGCCCTTTGCTGCAGAGTATCCTGCAGTGTACTGAATAATGATTTGTAGCTGGGAAATGTCAGACTAAACAAACTGTGTGACAAGTGAACTGCAAGGTGTAGACTGTGTAAATTGAACAGAGAAACTGAGAAGATAAAAAAAAAGACAAAGTTGGAAGCAGATGATTAGTTTTTTTTGTACATGAATACATTAGAGCAAACCTGCTGGATGCCGTACGTCCAGCCCTGTTTGATGCGGTCTTTGGCCCACACGTTGTGTGCATTCTCTGCCAGTTTGTCCACCAGCAGCTCCTGACCTGGAGTCAGTTTTATGTCGGACAGGTCCAGAGGGGACGGCTTATAACCATTGGACATCATGTAGCTACAGGAAGAAAGATAATGAAAAGAAGCAATTTTCCCTCAGTTATGGATGTACAGTAATAGACTGCAAATCTGTCAGGACTGACTCACACACATTTATAGCCTGACAGAAATCTTTATGGCAGCACAGACACTATATTAACAATAAATGGCTCCGTTTTATATTGCTTGACATTTTCTGATGGTCTGTCACCGGGTTTAGACACACTTTGAATCACAATTTAATTGCTGGTGTTACATATGTTTTAATCAGCTGTATTGTTAGAATCTCTAGCAGACAGGTTTACAACAAACAATCTGAGCTGCTCGCTTACTTCTTCGGGAGTTTTATCTTTTTGAGGGAGTCCTCCGCATTTGGATTCACCTGAACTACACGACAGCCTAACGCCAGCAGGGTCCTGTGGGCGAGAAATAATAATAAGTGTGAGAAAATAGACCGAGCCTGTCAGCAGATTGTGTTTAATCCACACCGCCGCATTATTTCTGATTTAACAGCACATGTTCAAATGGAGCAGTGATGGGTTAAATTGTCCGTGTCCTAATCTCTTAGGAGGGAGAGAGGGAGAGAGGCCAAACAATACCCAGAGGAATGAACTGGGTGTGAAGTGTATTTGACAAATTCTCTTCACACCTTGTGAGAGGACATAGTGGCAGTAAAAATGAGTTTGATGTCACTCGGAAACCCATCAGTGTCACCCAGATGTGTCCTCTACTGCAGCGGATCAAGATTGATGACGGCACGACGTCGTGTTCTCCTTCATCATTTAGGCGTTTATGTAAACTACTTGTTGTAGGTCTCACTTAGAACATCAGGGTAAGAAAGAAAACAGACATTTCCAAAAGCTACCTGACCAAAAGCATGAGAGCATTTACTGTAACCCTTCTAAATCGACTTAACTCACGTCTGCTTCCGATTACGTATACGATGCTCTTGATTTATATCAAACACCATCTATTTATTGTCTGTTTTTGTGTGACTAATCAGTCTGACAGTCTCTTTTTTTTTCCTCTTCAAAAAGAAAAAAAAAAGGAAGGAGCGCCGAGTAAATCAATCGGTAATGCTCAACATACTTCAGAGTTTCTGTTGACATCTGCAGATTGTAGTTTTTTTCCGTTTCTGGCAGCTTGGAGAAATCCACCAGGCATGGATGCTGCCGCTTATTATCATCCCTTATCTGTGAGGAAAGAGAACAAAGGAAAAGACATATCAACCTTCTTCTACCGTCTTCACTCATCAATAATTCCATATATGTCACTATGTGGGAAAGTTCGCTAAATATATGCATATGAAATACACAGCCTTGTAAGTCGATGTCGTAGTGAGCTAACGAGGAAGGTGGGGGGCGGGCATGTGGTTTAAGTACAGGGTGCTACTGGTTGCGGTGATAAGACAGTCTACTCTAGTGAACATGTTATGAAAGTGGAACAAGGGAGCATGTTTTCTTGGGGGGGAGATAGAAAGGTGTACAGCTGGAATACTAAGTGAGAGGTGGTAATGTGTCTCTCGAGGCTGCACTTTATGCCAAATAATCCCTTTGGCAATGCCGCTCAGAGGAGGCGGCGGCATGGCAATGGTGGATGGTTACCAAGAAAACATGCAGGGCTGTGTACAGATATGCAGCTGTGTGTGCGCGCGACTTCCGATGAACACCAGCCAGCTCTTTTGTGAATAGTACAAGAACTATGGGAAATCTCTTCTCTGACAGCTCGTCCGCTTGCGGAATTATAATCGTGGAACAAACAACAAACGGTATTTATATGCAACCGGGGTAAAGGAAACAAGACGATGCTTTTATTGCGTATTCCTTCTGCTGCTGCAGGACGTCTACTGGCAACGCCGCTGTAATTAAAAACAATGAATGACAACTAAAGTGGAACCACATCTAATAATAATACGTGCGCCTTAGCTATCACTCAACAAACAAAAAAAACTAAACTTCTTAAAGTTCAGATGGTCACTTATTAAACCTGTCTCAAACTTTCTCTTTACTCTAAATTAAAGATTCTGTTGCGGTGTTGGGCAGCGTGAAGGCCTCTATAAAAGCAGGTGGCAATAAAAGGAGGATTCTCATACTTGTGTTTGTATTATAAACATAAGAGCTGTGATCTATATTGTTGTTGGTTTTGGTTTTTGTTCCTTTAAGGGCAAAACAGGTCACTTTGGCGCTAGCAGCTAATGTAGCATAAACCAGAAAGTCACTAATGAGTCAAACAAAATGGGTTAATAATAAATATATAGACGATATATATAGTGCAGGTTAGCGTTTTTTTTTCCAATTACACTAATTTGCTGTTCTGCTGAGAGTTAGATGAGAAACGTTGATACCACTGAAGCAGCAGCAGCAGCCGGGAGACGTTTAGCTTAACTTAGCAAAAGCTGTCCAAAGACGTTCACCTACAAACACCACTAAAGCGCTCTAATTAACACATTTTAGTACTTTAATCCTTACAAACTTCCAAGAGTTTCGGTATCCCAGGGGCTCAACTGGTTGCGCTTTTGAACTTTGAACAGGCAGAGCGAGGCTAACTGTTTCCTTCTGGGCTTTATGCTAAGCTAGGCTAATCATCTCCTGGCTCTAGTTCCACTGACTGATCCTCGTGTAACATATAAACCTGGATAGAAACCACAAGCTTTTGTAAACCAGGTTTATCAGGTTGTTAATTACTGACCTTTAAAGGTGCGAGAGTGCTAATTTTGTTACCTCTGGACAGGGTCGAGCTAGCCCATATGCTAAGCTAACGCTCTTTTGACTTTACAGTTCAGTATGGGTGTAGATTAATCACTGGGGGGACTGGGTCTCCTTCCCTGTGAAATTTTGAGCATTTAACACCTACTTTCCTGTATTCTGATCAGTTTTTATGCACTAATTTGTTCCTCTTTTACATCAACTTAAAGGAAACCAGGTGATGGTTGAAAATATATTGGATTATAACACATTAATGCTATTAGGTCTCTGTATTACTTCCATTATTAAACGTCTATAAATGATTTTTTTTCTCATTTAGTAAAATTACAGCTGATTTTACATACATACATATATATATTTATATATCTTTTGTCTTTGGTCTTTTGTTTTCAGAAGTCTTTTAACATACATGTGTCATATTTTCACGTAAATGATGAATTCATTGATTTAAATTAACTTATGAACTCCTGGATTTTAATTGCTCAGCTTGTTTCAGCAAGATATCTGCACATTTCACTTATGCTGGTGTTTAAAATCATAGACATGCTCCCTGTGTCCTCCCCTTGGAATATAATCCTGTGGAGAGTTGTATCCGTCTCCTCATCTAACTGTCAGATACGAGCACATTTCCAAAAATGTCAAACTATATTTTTAACAGCAACAAAAACGATATGATCATAGATTTTATTTTTCTCTTCTTTGAATGTGTAAAAAAAAGGCCGTCTATCGGTTTCATAGCAGGTTCTGGTCCTGTGTTTTGAATTCTTGATGGTGTCTATAATGTATATGGCGGCCTTTAACGAATTAGACTCCCCAGTGGACTTTCTTTCAAAAGAGGGAAAAACTAAATGCATAAAGCATACAGGTCTCCCTCTCGGTTTATTGCAGTGGTGAAATTGCCAAAGCATCGTGTTTTGCCCTTGGGTGAAACAATACTTTGTAATTCATGACTTGTACTAAAACACAGACACGATGACTTCGCTATCTACAAACAAACCGGAATGAAGCTTCTAAATGAGTGACATGGAAAGCACTGAACGTGGAAAAATGAGAGTGTTCTCTCCACTTACCCTCTTTTTGGTGTGAACCGCAAATTATAAAAGAGAAAGCAAGATGACGTACAGGCTTTTTGTGATGGTCAGTTCTAATACTACTAATTAATGCAATTCAAGCTGACTTTTAACTTAAATTTATTGAGAAAACGTGTAATCGAGATGTTTATTTCTCCACAAACATGGCAAAAATGTATGGATTATGCTTTTTATCATTCGATCTGAGTGATGATCTCGCTGGAAAAGAATCATATATGCAAAAAAAACAACAAAAAAACAATCTCACCTTGCCGTACGACCAGCCCAGCTCAATCTTATTCATGCCCCACAGTTCGTGGATGTTCTCAGCCAGCTTGTCCCGAACCTTCTCCAAATGAGGCGGCATGACAATCTGAAGAAATTGTCAAAGCAAATGAGAGGGTAGCACCGTGAGGAGTTGATCTGTTGAATCGCCACCCGTCCTGTGAGCTTACCTGGCTGGTTTCCACAGGCGCGGGGATGAAGGAGGCCTGCGACATGAACTGGGTGGTGCCCAGCAGATCCCGGACCCCGTCTGCGTCTCTCTTGTACTCCTTCACCGGCTCCACCTTCATCTTCTCTTTGGGCAGCAGGGCCTCGTAACACGGAGCGTAACTCGACGGAGGCAGGAACTTGAAGTCGCCATGTCGACCACCCAACAGGAATCGCCCCCTTATGAGAGAAATATATTCATTTAAAATACTGGATGCAAAAGTTAATTAATGACGGGGAAAAAAAAATCATAACAGTGAGCGACAATCAGACGGCTATTAACGAAAGAAGCAGGCGGTGAAAGGAAAACCAGTCATGCAGATAAACAGAACTACTTTTCCTCCTCTTAATCCGCTTCAATCAGTTCTGCTCTAACAGGGACAAGTTTAGCTCAGAGAGGGAAAAAAAAAAAAAAACGTCTCAGGCCGTCGCTGTGAAGAGGCTCTCCTGAGGCCGCCCAAAATAGCTGCTCAAGTAGTAGTGGTGACGCAACCAAAAGCCATTCTCGCCGCAGCCCTCAATTATTGAGCAGCGAAGATGTGCGGCTGTCATTTTCTGGCACATTTGAGTCCGTGGAGACGTCAACCCTGTTCACTGGGTCAATCTCGAGTACAAGCTTGGGAAGTGTCTCACCCACTCGACGGTGCTCAGAAGGGGGGCACTTTGCATATGAAATACTGGACAGAGACTACCAGTAAACTGAGGAGGGGGGGGCAAGTTTGTAAGGCAATAATGATCTGGTTTTAGTTCAATTTGGACAAGTAATGTCATGATAATGATAAACCAGTTGAATAATTTCTGTATGTAAAGACCTCCTCCTGTGAAAGTTTCGTCCATATTGTGTTTTTTTTTTTTTTACATACTAGAAAACATCATGAGCTGAGCATTTGTACCAATGACAGTCCCAAAAGAACTAATTCCTCAATGTGCCTTATGCAGATTCTTCTGTTATCTTTTGTGTTTATATTTTTTACATGTTTAGACTGTATATGTTTCAGCCTATTATATGTTTAGATTGTATATTTTGTAGCTTATTATAGGTCTAGACTGTATATTTTAGCCTATTATATGTTTAGCTTACATATTTTTTAGCATGTATATTTTTCAACTGCGTGTTTTTTTTTTGTAGATTATTTTTTCTGGTGTTTTTGCCTTTATTATTCAGGACAGTGAGAGAGTGAGACAGGAAACGCGGGAGAAGAATGGGGAGAGACCTGCAGCAAACTGTCGTGAGCAGGAGTTGAACTCACGACCGCTACGTTGGGGAACTACAGCCCCTGTTCATGGGTCGCCCCCTCAACCAAGTGAGCTATAGGGACACCCCGTGTTTTTTTAAATGAAGGTTGGAGAGAAATGCAATTTCAGTTCTCTGTATGTGCACAGGTGTAGCAGAACTGACAATAGAGTAACTCTGACTAACTGACTTTGACTAATTCAGACTTCCAGGGTTCCAGGGCGACAGCACAGTTACATCTGAGCCATTTTAAGGCAGGTAGGGGTTCGTTTCATGGTAAAAAAATACTTTAAAATGTGTGACTTTTATACAGAGAGATGAGTTATTAGTAGTTGAATCAATAACCTTAAAGGGACAATGCATGTATTACGGATGTACAGATAGCAACGATAACCATGAAATTAAAAAAATGAAATAATGGCATGACATTAATATAATAAATAATCCAGTTCTGGTTGAGACTCCAACGCAGTACACTTATGGCTGCAGACTGTATTTTTAGTCTAATACATTCACCAATTTCCCAAATTTAATATCAAAATTTAAGTGATAGAATTTTATTCTTGCAACATTTCAACAGCTTTTACCATAAAATCATTGGATTTTTTTTTCTTAATCTTGTTGTGAAAATCTGACAGCCCTCGGTGTGCATCACCGCGGCACACTCTCGAGGAGATAATAGCAACAAGGACCACATTATACAAAACTGTAATTGAAACGCCAGACTGGGAAGAAAGAGGAAGAGCAGAAAAGAGGAGGAGATAAACGTCAAAATGAAAACTGGCAAACACCCAGAAAAATGAACAAGCTGTGCTCCACGAGAGTGTAATCACCGTTAAGAAGAAGACACATCTATATATGTACACAATCCCTCAGAGGAACCACGCTGATTTGATCTCACAGTGTTATTAACTTCCTCACCTAACTTTGGTAAATAGGTATTTTTCAAAACATTTAAAATGTTGGCTAAAATGGGTAAGTAATGCAAAAAATCTCTTCTGTTTGATGAGTAATTTAAAAAGCAGGACAAGAATGAGAGAAAATTAGTCGAGCAGAAGACATGAAAGTGACACTAAAGTCAGGAAATTCAAGCGGCGCCTTTTTCCGTTCTTCTACTAATACAGATTAAACAAATGAAGCCAGATGAGTCGACTCTGTTCTCCCGACTGTTAGAGAAGGAAAAAAAAAAAAAATGCTGCTTGAATTACAAGTAACTCTCTACATGAGGTATGGTAATACTTCTCGAGAATTCATTTTTTTGTCAGGCGGCGAGAAGGGAATTCACTCTCTGCTGGCTTACATGACCAAATAAAATCAGACTAGTCTCTCGGTGTCAAGTGTCTCCGAGTGAAAGCTGCAAACTGCTGCTGTACTCTTCAAAGTCAGAGTCAATCATGGAATCATGGAAAAACTGCTGGAGCTTGAAATTCCATTTTTAAGTCTTGTCAATCACACCATCCGCGGTCACCATGGCAACAGGGAGGAAAATAAAGCAGGTCCTCTTTTCATTTTTTTACCTGTGTCCAATCAGAGGGCCTTGAGGATTAATGCGTTTGAACCAGACTGAGTGGGTGGATTAGATGGATTTCATGCATGCAGAGTGTGTTGGAGTGTAGGTGTGCTGTATAAACTCTATGTATGCTTGTGTATTTTTTTTGGCATGAGTCTGCCCGTCTCATCTGTCTGCAGCTGTTTCATCACAGAGGAGGTTCAGGGCGTCCGTACGTCGTCGAAAACGCGCAGGAGAAGCAGATAAACACTCACTTGACCCCCGCGGAGAAGCTGACGACGGGGAAGAAAAGCCCGTCTGTGTTGAAATTTTCGAACATGCCCTGGACGGGCTGTCCGTTGATCCTGAAAGAGATGCTGGGCGCTCCCAGGTCCAGACAGCAGCTCACCACATCCTCTGAGGTCAGGATGTGCTGGTTCATGGATGCAACCGCCCGTGGGATACGACCTGCTCAGGACACACACATAGACACACACCGTAATGTGAAACATGCCCCGGTGAGTGACGCTGGCACAGATCACATCTCTCAAACACACACACACAGGATCGAACACACATTTTGCGCACGGCGACACACACTCTGGGCAAGGAGATCGTCCCTGCAGGGCAGCGATTCTGTCTAGACACAACCTGGCTGCAGCCCGTGTTTACCACTCATCTTTAATGTGTAAGCTTATTATCTCCACACACACACACACACACACACAGGATTTCTGTCCTCACCTGACCAGAGGTGGAGTCCGTCGAAGCCGTACGAGTAGAGATCGTCCCCGACTCCGTTGCCCCCCCAGCCCTCTCCTCCTCCGGGGTAGGGTGCGTATCCTTTGGTGTTGGCCCAGCCCACCCTCAGGTGGGAGGGCTCGCTGGTCACAAAGTGGTCCACCTGGTCGATCATCAGCTCGTAGTACCACTTCTTATACTGAGCCGAGCCCTCGCTCACCCCCAGGAAGATGTTCGGTCGCATACTGGCGGTGAAGTGAAATGTGAAATCGTTAGACATCCCCCGGAGCAAGTAAGATATCCTCAGATATCCACTTGTAACGTCTTATTTGTCCCTTGAAACGAATGAGAAGGTAAATCCTAAAGACAGGATCATTTAATTTGCAGCTAATGCATCCGGTTTGGGATGTTTCTATGAAGGGATCACTTCACTAGTGACAATAAAAAGAGACACAACATATGAAGGGATGTTATCCTCGTTGAAATTGTTCTTGACATTGTAAAACAAAAAAAAATAGGGGCTTTGAAGGCCCAGTATGAGCTGAGAACATAGTGATGTCATGTAATGGTTGAATGTATGTGGCCCACATTCGAATCTGTGGATTATACTGTAAATGTCAGAAAAGTTCCAGGACTGGTGTCACAAAAGATATATTTCAAACCCAAACTACAAACTAAGAGCTTTCCCCTTCAGACGATCAACCAGCACGTCTACAAAGAGATCTTGCGCGAGAAGAGGCAAGAGTCGTGGCAGGACAAGTCATGACTGCTTCACCATGACAACGCCCTGCTCACAACGCCCTGAGCATCCCACAGTTCCTGGCTGGAGCAACCTCCCTACTCACCCCACCTGGCTCCGTGGGATTTTCATCCTCTTCCCCAAGCTCAAGGGGGTCATCAAGTGGACCCGTTTTGAAGACGTGGACGACATCAAGATGGCTGTGATGACGGGCCTGAGGACGATCCCGGAAGAATCCTTCCAGGAGTGCATGGCGGTGTGGCAGAGAAGGCTGGGGAAGTGTGTTAGACTCCAGGGGGAAAACTAGTAGTTTGAGTTTGAAATATATCTTTTGTGACACCAGTCCTGAAACTTTTCTGACACACCTCGTATGTGGCCCACATTCAAATCTGTGGATCACGCTGGTAAATGTATACATTCTGCACTAGGGATGTAGTTTTAGGTGTGTATGTTGTTCACTCAATTATATGGTCCATAGATTGGAATGCTGAGTGTACAATCACACACAGTGGCATGGTTGGGGCTCTGATACTGGTTCTACCAGCTGTTCGTAAATTCAAACTTTATGCCAAATGTTTACAGAGAGATTTACGCCATTTGCACCATGTGAACCAGCTTAAACATAGAAATGAGCTGGTTTTCAATACTAAAACTCAGTCACAGCTGGTGATAACATGCTAGAGCTTAAGTATGTGTTTAGGTAAATAAGGTTTATTGGTTTCAGTTGGAGTCTTTACTGACTAAGACATTCACAAGCTCACTAGTACTTTAATCACTTGGCATTTACTTTGTATTTGCTCAGCTTACTTGATCATTGCTTTTTTCAGGTCTAATATGAGAATGTCAGTCAATAACTATGACCTGAAATATCAGAGAAGCCTGATGTTGGAAGGACAGGTGCTACGTGGATTGCTTGCTAACCTCTGGACATCGTTCACCAGCTGCGTCTGCAACAGCAGATCTCTCTTGGGCAGCAAGTGATCGCAGATGAGGTTCTGATTGGTTCGCACCGCCACGCCGTTACACACACACAGCGAGCAGAGCACATCCAGAATCTAAAAGAGAAGAAGTGGAGGCATCAGGGAGGACAATAAGCAGCGGAGGAACACAACAGCTCTCCTGTAAGTCTTCTTTATTTTCCCTATTACAGCCGGGATATGAATCCATACCTTTCCTGAAATGACTAATTATATTTGTCCCTAATCACTGTCCAGGTTGCTGCTCTGGGGACAGCCTCTTTTTATGCGACTGCTGCATAATTACTCTGTGATGCTTATTGGAGGCACAAACATGTCCAATAATATCCCGTTTGATGTTAACTTAACAAAGCCGTAGAATTAAATGGGCCGGGAAACTCAGCCAAGGGTGACAGGCCGGAGCACCTACGCTTTATCACTGACCTTTTTCCTCCTGCTTCCACAGCAGAATGATACATTTGGGCTGATTTACGACCCCGGCCGGCTGACTGTTTGCTACTGATCTCATTTCGCCGTTAAACAGATTGATTCATGATGGGGACGCGCTGCAACCAAAACCCCCAGGAACCAACTGTCAAGGATTGAAGTTTGTATGCCGGTAGAAGGTAAGCACAATCAATTAGTAGCTAAAGAGAAGAAGTGTTGACAGAGAAGCCCAGGGGGAACTGTTATGGAAATAAATGTGCATCCAGCAAACCCTTTTGGTGAGCCTAATGAGAAAAGAAGTGGAGATGACTGGGTGCAGAATGACTTTTCAGGAGTGTGCTTTCTTGCTTGGCAAAAAAATCTAACAAAATCTAAGTTATTGGTGATATTTCAGAATACAGCTGGGAGGGACGAGAGGGGATCAATAGGGCTCTGGTGCCTGTGCAGTAACTATATAACCATAACCAGCAGCCGTTCAGCTCAGCTTAGCATAAAGACTATAAACAGAGGGGAAGCAGCTAAGCCTGGCTCTGTCCAAATGAGGCAAATAAATCCACCTACCAGGTCCTCTAAAGATCACAAGTAGCTATAAAGTTCACAAATTCACATGTGACATCTCATTTGCTTAATCTGATTTAAAAAAGCGTAGCGTATAAATTACATTTTGCCATTTAACTGGGGGTGTGTTTCCGGCTATGCAGCCCACAGAGACTCGAGGAAGTTAATGGTCCTGACCAAGAAACAAGTGCCCTTTATTTTCAGCCTTTATGCTCAGCTAAGCTATACATGGTGGTGTAGATCTTCTCTTTTAACTTTCAAGAGGAGAAATGAACATATTTTCCTCTCACGATAGGGTTTATTGTTGCTCTATTTGTACCTCCTTTCAGACATGCACTCCTTTCAGGTAATCTGACGGCGTGTCAGCTTCATGTCTAAATGATCACCCCGGTGACTCTTGTGTAAAAGGCGACAGCACTTGTGTGAGGTGACTTAAGGTGACACATTTCAGCAACACTTTGCTCCACAATGGAAAAAAATATAACTTTAATGCGATGAAACTATAAAACAGGTCAGA